CTATAGATGACAGGAGCAGATTTGAATTTACTTCGTAGTACAATTAATGTAATGAGTCGATTTTGTTTTTTGTGTCTTTTCTCTCATGACTACAACATTCTACCCTCACAAATATTTCCATGTCAAGCTAAATATTTCACAGATCCATTTATGTGTTCAGTGGAGGGCAATATGTCTCCAGTCAAGTATTTAGCTAAGCTAGGCTAATTGTGTACTATCTACCTGAAAAAGTATTAAAACAGAGAACGACAGAACTATCCATGCGAAATGGGCAGTATTTACTGAAGGAAGATTGTCTGTACGTTACCTGTACCTCACGATGAATCTGGCGGAGCTCACCATACCACCACTGACAGCATTACGCTTGAACAGTCTCAACATACGTTTTGAACAACAGAACAGTGTGTGGAGTCTTTATAAGAGGCTCTAGCCCCTGTTGTGCATCTGACAGATTGTTGCGGATCACCAGTCCCGTACATTGTATATCTACAAAAGAACAGTTTGACATTCATTTTCAGACAGTTACAACGAATTGGTTGTAGCTGCAGCCTTCAACACAGATTTCCTACCTTGCGGTGCTTTGTTGAATATGATTCGATGTGTGAAACAAAGTAAAAAAGAAGTTACATGAATTAACATGAATGGTTTGAGTTTCATTTATTCTTTCTTGTCCGACGTGTGGAAGTTGAACAACATATCGGCATGTACGACTTCTGCTTCGCTTTCACTGATGTTCTCGAGGTTCTTCAAGTCCAGCAATCCACACCGCTTCCCCGTCCTGGTTTGCGGGTCATTGCAGATGCTACTATTAGCTGTACTGTCAACTACAAAAGCAAAACACAAAATCCGCTCATGAAAAACTAACACTCAGCTACAAAATGGACGCTTTGTCCAGAGCTACCCGGCTAAGGCCAAGGTCGAATGCCATGCGGTTTCTTGTTTTTGACGTCATCCATTATGGTTCCTGTTGACGTTGATATTAGTAAATCAGTGACTTCCGTTGCGAGGTTATATACAACCACTATACTGTTGTTTTAGCTATAATAACGGAAACATTATTTTCAGCAACACATGTTATATTTGGAAACCACTTTCTAGTAACTTACAGATTATAGTACTTTTTGGATCGCTCTCATTATCATTTAAATCAATAATATTGACGTCCTCGCCCCCCCCCCCCCCCCCCCCATAAAAAACAACAACAAACAAAAGAAAAAAAACGTCAGTAGATTTATGAAGCACTCGGACAATAACTCAAGCCGACTCGTCAACACCGATCGCATCGGACGCCATCTTTGTGATGTCCGTGTCAGTCTGTGAATCAGCTAATTAGCACCCGATTATTATGACGTCACATAGCAGTGGAATAGATAGCAGCCTATCGTTAACCGAATGCGGGCTTCTATCAAGTTATAGTAGTCCGCAGATTTCTGATACCGTATGGGCGTTTTTATGATAATTCTGCCCAATGTAGCTTAATATAACGCGGGGGCACGGGTGGCCCAGTCGTCTAAGGCGCCGCGATTCGCTGTGCAGAGTTGCGTCCCTTGGGCACGCCAGAAACCTATGATTGTGGGCTCGAATCCCGGTTCGCCCCGATTATGTTTCTAGGTTTGTCAGCACCATACCGGTGCTCGTGGGTTTCATCGAAGTGGTAAACGTCTGAGACCTGCATCACTTCGGGCTTTCCTCCCACATTAAGCTGACACACCGTGATATAACTGGAATACTGTTAAAAGCGGCGTTAAACCAAGCTCACTCACTCACTTAATAAAACGCAAGACGCAACAGAGGTCCTCTAGACTGCAAACTGGACAGGTCTCTTGTATAGGACAATATACAACATAGGTCCTCGAGCTCTATGTTATAACTTGCTAGGTCATTAATATACCACAATGCACAGCACAGGTCCTCTGTACTACAACTTGACAGGTCACTTATATCAGACACTACACAATATAGGCCCTTTATCTACAACTGGACAGGTCTATAATATAATACAATGCACTTGTGACATACATCCTCTAGCCCCCATGATACGGACAACTGTCAAAAGACGTCACAGAAGTCTTCCATACTACATTCATTGTACCCAGATGAGGAATCGAACCCTGGCTTTCGGTGTAAAGAGCATGTGCGGTGTTGGATATTCTTGACAGGTAGAATAGCGATAACCCATCTGACAGTTATGTGTGTCATTGGCACAACATGTGTGTTGATATAGGCAGAACACGTGTACACTATGTATCATGTGTGTTGATATAGGCATAACACGTGCACACTATGTAATATGTGTGCTGATATAGGCGTAACATGTGTGTTGATTTAGGCATAACACGTGCACACTATGTAATATGTGTGCTGATATAGGCGTAACATGTGTGTTGATATAGGCATAATATGTGCACACTATGTAACATGTGTTTTGATTGAGTGGAAAAACATGTATACTGTGAATACTATGTGTTGAGATTGTCATTGTTGGTGTTGGTGTTGGTGTAGGCACAGCACGTGTACACCATGCAACATCTGTGTTGATATAGGCAGAACACGTGTACACTAGTAACATGTGTGTAGATGTAGCGCAGCCTGTAAACAATTTATTGCACATTTATTGGTGCATCGTGTAAACTACATGTATGTAAAGTGTCTGTTGATTGAGAGCTGTACACTATGTACCATATGGAACGTGTGTTCATCCAGGATAACAAGTGTAAATATGTACAGTATGTGTTGGTTTAGTAATAACACATGCACACTATGTACAGGGTGTGTTGATATCGGGATAACACATGCACACTATGTACATGGTGTGTTGATATCGGGATAACACATGCACACTATGTACAGGGTGTGTTGATATCGGGATAACACATGCACACTATGTACAGGGTGTGTTGATATCGGGATAACACATGCACACTATGTACAGGGTGTGTTGGTTTAGTGATAACACATGCACACTATGTACAGGGTGTGTTGATATCGGGATAACACATGCACACTATGTACAGGGTGTGTTGATATCGGGATAACACATGCACACTATGTACAGGGTGTGTTGATATCGGGATAACACATGCACACTATGTACAGGGTGTGTTGAAATCGGGATAACACATGCACACTATGTACAGGGTGTGTTGATATCGGGATAACACATGCACACTATGTACAGGGTGTGTTGATATCGGGATAACACATGCACACTATGTACAGGGTGTGTTGATATCGGGATAACACATGCACACTATGTACAGGGTGTGTTGGTTTAGTGATAACACATGCACATATGTACAGGGTGTGTTGATATCGGGATAACACATGCACACTATGTACAGGGTGTGTTGGTTTAGTGATAACACATGCACACTATGTACAGGGTGTGTTGATTTCGGGATAACACATGCACACTATGTACAGGGTGTGTTGGTTTAGTGATAACACATGCACACTATGTACAGGGTGTGTTGATATCGGGATAACACATGCACACTATGTACAGGGTGTGTTGATATCGGGATAACACATGCACATATGTACAGTATGTGATGGTTTAGTAATAACACATGCACACTATGTACAGGGTGTGTTGATATCGGGATAACACATGCACACTATGTACAGGGTGTGTTGGTTTAGTGATAACACATGCACACTTTGTACAGGGTGTGTTGATATCGGGATAACACATGCACACTATGTACAGGGTGTGTTGGTTTAGTGATAACACATGCACACTTTGTACAGGGTGTGTTGATATCGGGATAACACATGCACACTATGTACAGGGTCTGTTGATATCGGGATAACACATGCACACTATGTACAGGGTGTGTTGGTTTAGTGATAACACATGCACACTTTGTACAGGGTGTGTTGATATCGGGATAACACATGCACACTATGTACAGGGTGTGTTGGTTTAGTGATAACACATGCACACTTTGTACAGGGTGTGTTGATATCGGGATAACACATGCACACTATGTACAGGGTGTGTTGGTTTAGTGATAACACATGCACACTTTGTACAGGGTGTGTTGATATCGGGATAACACATGCACACTATGTACAGGGTGTGTTGATATCGGGATAACACATGCACACTATGTACAGGGCGTGTTGGTTTAGTGATAACACATGCACACTATGTACAGGGTGTGTTGATATCGGGATAACACATGCACACTATGCACAGGGTGTGTTGATATCGGGATAACACATGCACACTATGTACAGGATGTGTTGATATCGGGATAACACATGCACACTATGTACAGGGTGTGTTGATATCGGGATAACACATGCACACTATGTACAGTATGTGTTGGTTTAGTGATAACACATGCACACTATGTACAGGATGTGCTGAAGTAAGGGCAGCATGTGTACGTACACTATATATAGCTATGTAAAGTGTGTGGATGTAGGAGTACCATGCGTACACTGTGAAACATAAGGGTTGATGTAGTCGTTATAAGTGAACACTATGCACCGCGTGTGTTGACGGAGAAGTAACACGTGTATGCTATGTAACACAAGTACTTACGAGCACTTTGTGCTGCACCCTATTAGTTTGTGAGTGGTTACGGGTCAATCTGGTTTCCCTTCCAAATGTACAAACCGTTATTTTGAAACAAGAGCCATTAACGTAGACATTTACTGGAATGCATATATAGACTGACAGAGACACATGAAATAGAGATATAATCACATCAATGATAGTGACTAGCAAATTGTATCAAAAATGTTTAAACTTCAGCTCGTTCCCCCATCAACCTTACGACACAAGTAGAGCATACACTGCCTTGTGTTTTTTACGTTTTGCTGCCATCGCTGCTGTATCCCCATTCCTGTCCTTGTCGTTAAGATCCACAACATGTTGAGAAAGAATATACCTGACCATCTCTACTTGTCCATAATAACAGGCGACGTGCAGGATGGTGAAACCAATACCATCAACTGCAGACACGTCACTACCTCTGCTAATAAGCAGGTCACACAGGTCCATATGTCCCGAAGCTGCCGTACATTCCTCTACTGTTGATGTCAGAAATGTTCTGTGAGAGGATGTTCTTCACCATCTCCACATGTCCTCCAAGACAGGCCAAATGTAGGATGTTATTACCATTTATATCCACAAGTGAAGTAGTGCCTCCTTTATCCACAACTAATTCAAACACTTCTCTGTGGCCAAATGTTGCAGCTCCCATCAATGGTGTCCTCTCGTACATTCCTCTACTGTTGATGTCAGAAATGTTCTGTGAGAGGATGTACTTCACCATCTCCACATGTCCTCCAAGGCAGGCCACATGTAGGATGTTATCACCATTTATATCCACAAGTGAAGCATCACCTCCTTTATCCAGGACTAAGTCAAACACTTCTCTATACCCCTCACGTGCCGCCAAATGCAATGGTGTCATCCCGTGCATTCCTCTACTGTTGATGTCTGTAATATTCTGCGAGAAGATGTACTTCACCATCTCCAAATGTCCTCCATGGCAGGCCAAATGTAGGATGCTGCTACCTTCAGCATCAACTTGCGACACATTTCCACCTGCACATGCACATATGTCAAACACTTCCCACGTCCCCAACGTGCTGCCAACATCACTGATGTCCTCCCGTACTGCCCTCTACTGTTGATGTCCACAACGTCCAATGAGATTATATATTTAACCATTTCTATGTGTCCACCTCTACAGGTCACATGAGGGATGTTGTTACCAGCCTTATCTACCAGTGACACATCAGCTCCCTTTCTAAGAAGAAATTTAAAAACTTCACTTTTCCCATAGTATGCCGCTTTCATCGCTGATGTCCTCGGATACTGTCCTCTACTGTTGATGTCCACGATGTCAAGTGACATGATATATTTCACTATCTCAAAATGTTCTCCATAACAGGCCATATGAAGAATGTTGTTTCCCTTATAATCAACAAGTGTTATATTGCATCCTTCACGTACCAGATAGTCAAACACATCCCTATGTCCCCCGCGTGCTGCCAACATCACTGATGTCCTCCCGTATCGCCCTCTACTGTTGATGTCCACGATGTCCAGTGAAAGGACATATTTCATTATCACAATGTGTCCTCCATGACAGGCAATATGAAGAATGTTGTTTCCCTTATTATCAACAAGTGACATATTGCCTCCTTCTTTTACAAGAAAGTCAAACAGAGGGCTATGTCCAAAACGTGCTGCCATCATCACTGGTGTCATCCTGTATTCCCTCTCTCTACTGTTAATGTCAACGTAGCCTTCAGTTAAGATGTGTTGAAGGCAGTTAGTTAACTTTTACACAGACAGCTTTTCCATATCGGCTCTCTATACATCTAGAACCGAGACTGCAAGACATGTCTGTGCAGGGACCAGTGGGTACCTTTAAACAGAAGCAAAATGTGAACTGTACATGTGTCCGTGAATGTCTCCTCCATAAAAGCAAACTGAATCGACAAATTTATCTGTCAGTACTTTAGTAGCATTGGTCTTTATTTTCGTTTGAAGTTGTCTTTCTAGATATACAGTGGCTGACTGGGTAACGCGATATGGATGGACTATTGCCATAAGACACAACTCACTGACTCTTTGCACTTTGACAACTGCACATGATTTGGTAAATTTGGTATTCGTTTTTTCTGCACTTAATGTTCTTACGTCAATATAGTGTAATTATGTAAACACATATTTTCTGGGAAGGTATTAAAGAAAATACATGCGATCATGTTCAAAAAGATAAACACATTTACAAATGTATTCAACTTACATCTGAATGATTCTTTTGAAGAACAATGAATCCTTCATTCACCTCTATTCATTTCGATTCACCAAGTCGTAGACGACAAGTTAACGTTCCATAATTGTATTCGATTCTCAAACAGCCGCCAGCTTCAATACATCTTGATTAGCGCAGCCTGATGCCAATGTTCCTGTTAGTGAAAGATCTGTCTGTCGCCTTCTCTAATATTTACATTTAGTACTTACTACTAAATGACTTTATCGCGCGTATCCAAACCATTGGCTAATTACGTCCATGACCCAATCACCCCTCGTAACTCAATCACCCCCGGGTCACCACTCTGCACCATGCCCGGGGAATAAGCCCGCGCGAGCATCATCCCGCCTTTTTGTAAAGCCCGTCATTCGCGCAGAGACCCTCTTCAAGTACACACGCGTTTCGCTGTATCTAATCGCTTTCGCTTTGTACTTTTCCCTTGCACCCAGTCGCGACCGTTTCGCCGATTACGCTCTGAATAACATCTATTTCAACACTCGCCGTATCGCATTTACACAATCGCGACCGTTTCGCCGATTACGCTTTTAATACCACCTATTTCAGCACTCGCCGTATCGCATTTATTTCGTTCTATTCCCGAACTTCATCCTCGGGACATTTTACACTTGTGGAATACCAACTCAACACCTCGACGTCGACCTTTCGTGATGCCTCCCAAGAGAAGATCAGCCGTCAACCACAAGCTGGTGAGGGGAGCCAAGCAGGCCAGTACAACCACAACACAAACCCCGGCAGTACACATTATGCAGTAGGCAACAGCTGATGGTGAGTCTTCCAATTACGGAAATATCGAAGGTGGCAACACAATTAACGTGCAATCGGCGCAGCTTGTAAATGCCGAGCAGGCTGCCAACTCGGCTACCCAGGTAAACGAGCAACTGGAAAAAATACTCCAGTTGCTGGAACATTCAGCGCCCGGCCCGGTTAGCGCAAACCAACAGGTAAGGCTTGGTTTTAGTTCTCCCGCCATTTCGCCCAACATAGGGAGAATCCCCGATGCTCACAACGAGGCCGACGGCCTGGTCAACCTACGACCAACAATTCCGACACAGAATGTCAAGGGACCGCTCACGACGCTGGGACAACATCGACGGGGAGTTGTGGCTGAAGTACATGGTCACACAGCCGGTACGACAACCAGAATCAGGCGGGCGGGGCGCAATGACACGCGTACAGGGGGACATCGCCAGTCAGGTATGCTGGGATTTCAATAAATTTGGCTGTAGCAGGGTCAACTGTAAGTACACTCACAAATGCGGTAAGTGGGGCAAACATTCCCACAGCTCTAAGACCTGCTTTCGAGGGAATGGGGTCCAACCGGCCTCATACAAGCCAAATCAGCCTTTCCCTAACAGAAAACCAGCCGTCAAGGCAGGTAAATTCAATGGCCCCTTCCCCCGTGAATCTCAATGAAATGGCACCCTGGTTACGTCAATATGCTAGGGTCAATTACAGAGATGCAAATTATTTATGGGTAGGTTTTAGCTTTGGTTTTAAGCTCGAGTTCCAGGGAAGCTGCACGGGTCGCCTGGCACGAAACTTGCGATCAGCCACGCACCAAGACACGGCAGGCTACGTGAAACAAAAACTAAAAAAGGAAGGCGACCTTGGCAGGATGGCGGGCCCCTTCAAGGACACCCCCCTAGACAACCTCCAAGTATCACCAATAGGCCTGGTACCCAAGAAGCAGCAAGGCTATGGTCAGCATCTGGGTAAGCATGCGGAGGAATTCCGTCTAAATTCACCATCTATCCTATCCCAGGGGTAAATCTATAAACGACTTCATAGACACAGAGGCCTGTTCCGTTGTGTATGCCAGATTTGATGAAGCTACTCATATAGTTCAACAACTTGGAAAGAGAGCACTAATAGCAAAATTCGACATTCAGTCGGCCTTTAGAATTATACCAGTCCACCCATCCGATTTCGAGCTGCTAGGCATCAGATTCGAAGGTGAATTCTATTTCGATAAATGCTTACCATTTAGCTGCTCCATATCTTGCGCCATATTTGAAACGTTTAGTACCTTCTTGCAATGGTGCATGCAATCACATCTTCCAACGTGTCAGACCATGCATTACCTGGATGACTTCCTAACGGGGGGCACAGCAGGCACCAGCCACTGCTCAGACAACCTCAACGGATGCGTGAATACACTAGAACAGCTTGGGGTCCCTAATGCGCACGACAAGACGGTGCGCACAAATCGACACCAATGTAATGCACACCAGAATCCCAGAGTCCAAGATCAAGGAGGCGACAATGGAAATCCAAGACATCCTGTCTACAGGTAACATCAAGGTCACAAAAAGGGCCTTTCAGTCCCTCTTAGGCGCGCAAGCTTAACTTTATGTGCAGGGCATTCAGCCGAAGGCTAATCGAGGACCAACTATAGGTAGACAGCGATTTCCTCCAGCTTTGGGGCCTACATGCAGGGCAAATGGTTTAACGGCGCATGACCAACCCAGTGGGTGACAGATGGAACTACACGGGACTTGACGCTCCTGGAGCTGTTCCCCATCACACTAGCCATCCAACTTTGGGGCAAGCAACTCGCAAACAAAAAGGTCCTCTTTCACTGCAACAACCAAGCCGTCGTAGCAATAATCAACAAACAGTCTACCAAGGCCCCCAGAGTGATGAGCCTACTCCGTCGCCTAATCCTGCACTGCCTCCGATATAATATCATGTTTAGGGCAAAGTATGTATGTTCCACTGCTAACACTATTGCCGGTGCCCTCTCGAGGTTTCAGCTCAAACGCTTCCGAGAGGCAGCACCAGCCACGGACCAGAACCCCACACCTATCCCGTGCAACATATGGCGGATCTGAGGCAGGAGGCCGGCAGACTCCTACAACAATCTCTGTCTACAAATACATGGGCCACTTACCAAACAGGCATCAATGCCTTGCACCCGTTCCGGTCCACACACCAGCTACAAGTGGTGTGGCCAGTCCCGCTGGATCAGGTTGTAAACTTAATTGCTTATCTGTCAGTCACTCACCACTCCCCTAACACAGTCGAGACTTACATTGCAGCGCTGTCTTCACAGCACCAATTCCATGGGCTCACCGACTGTACAAACCATTTCCTGGTGGGAAGATTTTAACAGGCTTACACAAATCAGCGGGCCGACCAGACACCAGAAAACCAATCACTGCAGATCTGCTAAAGGTAGTAACCAACAATCTGCCACATGTATGCTCATCAGCATATGAAGCCAGACTGTTTAAAGCAGTCTACTGCACAGCCTTCTTCGGTTTCTTTAGGGTTAGCTAGCTGGTCCAAACTGGACCCTCAAAAACAGGTTGCGCCATCCAGAATTTAAGCTTCTCGGGCAACCCCCAGCAGCTTTCAATCCATCTACCACACTCAAAGTCTGATCAGTACAGGATGGGGACAACAGTTACAATGTCATCCATACTAGGTAATCCGCTATGTCGGGTAGTCACCATCAAGCACTACCTGAAGGCGCACCCCTCCGGCCCACAACATGCATTCGTTCATTTCGATCATTCCCCCGTTACAAGTTACCAATTCCAGGCACTCCTAAAAAAGGCCTTAGCACACAGCAACATAAACACGGCTCGCTATTCTTCGCACTCCTTCCGCATTGGGGCAGCCACATCAGCAGCCATGAATGGGGTGCCGGAACACCTCATACAGCAATACAGCAGGTGGAAATCAGATTGTTTCAATGCTTACATACGCTTACCCACAAATTTAATGCTGCACAATTAATTCAAATAGTCTTTCATGGTACTTACTACACTTCTTATTGTTTACAGTTTGGATGGTGGGATCCAGCTACATGGCCAGGGCACAGCAGCATTTGCTCCTGAAGGGCACCATTCTGAACCAACCAGGATGCTATGGCTGGCACGAGGGGGGATGAGGTGGAAGGAACTGGACACCATTCTAGATGCACAGGTCAAGGCGACACGGCGCAGCCCCAGAGCCCTCATCATTCACCTGGGCTCCAACAACCTGTGCTCGGTCAAGGGCAGCCAACTCTACCTTGACATGGTGGCATCAATCCTTCGGATACAACTCCAGCTTCCTGACACCAAGATCATCGTATCCTCAATGCTGCCCAGGCGCTACTGGCACGATGCCAGGGATCCACTAAAGATCGAGGGGATGCAGAAGAATATCAACCGCCGACTGGCCAACCTAGTCAAAGAGCTCGGCGGTACAATAGTGCCACATCCCCAGATCCTGGCATCAGACAAGACATGGTACGCCTAGGAGGGCGTCCACCTCAGGGACAAAGGACTGTGTGTGTTTACGGACAATTTATTGCATGCCCTGGCGCTTGTTTTGCGCCAGTAAGGACGTTATCTCCACAGGTTAGTGTTTCTTTTCAGTACATAGGCAAGCTGGGCAATAATGCCATCTCGTGGCCGTGGGTGTGGGGTAGCACTCTGGTGCTTTGTGGCGGGTTCTTGTGGGCTACACTGCTAGTAACAAATTAACTTGCTTCCAAATTAATACTCGTGCTAAAGGCTACCTGCTTTTCAGCGGTAACCTTTCCGGGGTTACCTGCTTCTCATAGGGAACCTTGTCTTTCCCGACTTTTCAGCCGGGGAATTGTAAAATAACATACGTTGCGGCAAACAATTGCCACGTATATGGGCCCGGCGGCGGAAGTCGTCTTGTCAAGCGGTAGCTGACAGTTGGGTCCGCGGCGGTAGTCGCACAATGGTTTTGCTAATGGGGCCAGGCAGTGGGATCTGCTTTGGCCGGCTACCTGGGGCCGGGCAGCGGTAGTCTGACTAAGGCCAGCAGCGGGAGCTGCTTTTGGCAGCATGGGAGTTGCCAAGCAATGGTAGCATTTAAATATGCTACCATGGGGGCCAGAAAAGCGGTAGCAGTCTCAGGCCAGCAGTGCTAGCTGCGAATCGCCGTTGGCCACGCTAGTGGCCATGGCAACGGTAGCATTTTGGTATACACAACTAGCAGCTTAGTAGCCCACTGGTACCTGCACACCCTCGGCCATTTAACAATTGCCACGTATATGGGCCCGGCGGCGGAAGTCGTCTTGTCAAGCAGTAGCTGACAGTTGGGTCCGCGGCGGTAGTCGCAAAATGGTTTTGCTAATGGGGCCAGCAGTGGGAGCTGCTTTTGGCAGCGTGGGAGTTGCCAAGCAATGGTAGCGTTTAAATATGCTACCGTGGGGGCCGGACAGTGGTAGCAGTCTCAGGCCAGCAGCGCTAGCTGCGAATCGCCTTGGCCACGCTAGTCCATGGCAACGGTAGCATTTTGGTATACACAACTAGCAGCTTAGTAGCCCACTGGTACCTGCACACCCTCGGCCATTTAACCCAATCTCATCTTCTGTTATTATTATAGGCATGGGCATCCACGGCTGGGTGGCCCGTGCCTCTCTTGGCATATCGCGGGATAAGTGAACTCCACACTGTTTCTTGCTGGACGTGGAAGATCCAAACATTATGTGAACAACTGCAGATATCAGGAGCAGGTTCCTGAAGACCCCTGAACACAGTGGCGTCATCTTCAAGTGTTCATAGAGGATTACTGGACACTGCGCCCACACACAGTTGGGGACGAATGCTCGACTGCTCATCGACACATCCAAGGCCGACCTGTGCACGTCTTCTAGCAGTTGTATATAGACGTCATGTGACAGATTACGTTGCTGCTCTACATGTTAAATGCGAGATCAATACAGCAAAGTACATTCTGGAACCATCAACGAAAATGTCATCAGAAGATTTCTGAGAAATCAGTATGTGAAATGCTGAACTTCCTCATAGAAACCATCTGTATGAAATTCGAGTATAAAACATTTGAGGAAGTAGGCATACCAATGATCACTATAGTATCTCGTTTCTACTGGGATTGGCAAAATCTTAACTTTTCCTTCCGCTCATAAATAGGGCACTGAAGATAACTGATAATTTCCTAATCTTACGATACAAATCGCTTAATCATAAAAGTACCAGACTGTGTAGCAGTAAATTGTTCCTGTAATTTACATAAAACTAGCACCACAGTATATACGAAGGCAAATGGTAACACTATATGATGGGCATGTTACGTAATAATAATGCTGGTGTATATCAATCCATGCAATACAAGGTCATGCAATAGAAGGCCAGTCAGAATCACAGGATTGTGAGTTTGTTCCCCGGAAACGATGCTCGCCCGATCATGTGTTTCACCTGCTACTGTGATCTCTAAACATACATATTCCGGTAGCTATAATCCTGGTGCAGTGTGCAGAAATAAGATTTCATTGTGAATAAATGTGTAAGAGTTTCACGTCCTGTGTTCACATTTGGGCGAATATAAGTTTATGGAGGTCTCAAATTATGCATTTCATGTTTGGTTATATGCAGTTTAATACCTTTGTGTTGGACGCGAAGGGATTTGAAAATGGTCTAGTTATCAGTTGCACAAATGTTCATAAAGCAAGTTTAGCTATTAACTTATAGATAATACAATACACTATGTCCTTTTCTTTGAGAAACTTTTTCCTTTTTCACTTGAGACAGCAACATATTTTTTCTAGGTCTAGCATTGTTTAAACGAAAGGAAGGAATTCTCCGGGAGCAGAAAACAAACAATTGCACCAGAACATGTCGAAAAGAAACTTCTTGTTGAGTATGTTGGTTTATGTGTAAAAAGGTCCAGCTTTTTCATTGAGAGAAAAAACAAACGTAGTCGTTTCTCTTTCCATGAAGCTGTTACAATAATCCTTATTTGTTAACCTCCTCATGTTTATCATACCATATATTATTCTGTACAGTTCATCAGTCAGTCTTGCTTGACAACGGTACTCGTATAAGAATCTATACTGAAACGTCGCAATTCGGTATAATACTGAAGTTGTTATCCTTAAAAGAAACACTTTTGGCCACTTCGCTTTAACATGCATGACAAAAAATATTGTTGGTAAGTTAGGAAACCTGTGTGAATGTTTGTATTCTGAACCAATGTTGGAGACTAGAAAAACAAGTATTTACATCCATATCTGTATCAAACGTTTATTTCGAAGAGAGCAGCATTAGTACAGAGCAGCATTAGTACAGAGGAAACGCTGTCAATAGATGCAGGGGATGTGGTTAGCCTAGTGGTTGAAGCGTTCGCTAGTCACACCGAGGGCCGAGTTCGATTCCCCACATCGGTAAAATATCAGTTCAGGTGTCCACTGCATTGATATTTACAGGGATGATTAGCTATGAGTGAGAGCCACTTAAACACGCTCTTGTCTCCTTGTACACAGTCCATCGGCACGAGAACATTTAAGATGTTTCCTTAACATTCGTTTAACGTCCGATGTTAAATTGAACTACATTCCTGAAGACTAATCACTGCCCAAATACAATGCAATGAGCGTCTACCGAATCTCAACAGAATAAACAATAAAATACAATGCCATATAACAACAGCAAAACAGTGTGTAAGTGTGTGTGTGTGTGCGTGCGTGCGTGCGTGCGCGCGCGCGCGCGTGTGTGTGTGTGCGCGCGTGCGTGCGTGCGTGCGTGCGTGTGTGTGTGTGTGTGTGTGTGTGTGTGTGGAGAGAGAGAGAGTCGTATATGTATCGAGCCCTAGATGTATCGAGTCCTGCAAGTTCTGGGTCACAAATGGGGTATTTTAAACATCCATCGAAGACATGATTTCAAACTTAACTATGTGCTCACTTTTTTGTAATAAATGTGTTATCAGTGACAAAATTCATGTGGCGTAATGTCAGTATGAATTGACCCCAACTACTTCTGGTACGTGGGAATGTTTACACACGGCCCTCTGATCGTGGTGGAAATCACGATAGCATATCAAGAATAGAAACAGACAATAGGTGCTCTTAACAACTCCCTGTGTAATACAGTGCGACATTGTCTCGTGGTGAGGCGTCAGAAACATGCGTGAGGACGAGGAATGAATGCCTAACGTAAACTCTATTTTTTGTGATTTCCATTTTCACGGTTACAAAATAAATATGCAATATCAAATTAATAGGTAATGTCTTGTAGAGCAACCTCATGTAAAATGGGTCGACTTTATGTTTTATTGTCTGGATTTGACTGCCTGTGCGTGAACGTCTTAGAGATATCGTAACATGCATATCGCTTTTAACTCCACATCGACACCTTCATATCGCATGGCAATGTTCAAGGTCATGCTCAAGTATTATCCCGTAAAATGTTTGTTTACCGCCTTACCACAAAATGATTTACTACAGGCTAGTGAAACCTGATACAGGGCCATCCTTTCCACATGGCATTCCAAGTTAGCAAAATGCATCTGACAATGCCCGTGACTCTGTTGCAACTCGCACAAGGAGGAAGTAGTTATCTAGTAATATACCACCGTATATATCCATAATAAGTGATAGTGTTTATGATCATTGACCTAACATATGTTTCATGAAAAATCCCCTCTTATATTCACATGTAGCTTTCTTTGGCGACGTTTGCTCAATCACGTTAATATGACAGAACACAATTGTTTTGCCCTGGACGGCTAGATATAACTGCATTTAATCCATTAGTAGTGCAACAATCTTTATGTTTGAACTACTACTACTACTACTACTACTACTACTACTACTACTACTACTACTACTTCTACTATTAATAATAAGTTGAACCCACCTTAATGTTATTGCAAGCACTTGATAAACTCTCAATTTCTATTTCATATGTCGTGTCGTGTGTATAGAGGTACTGCTATTGTACGAGTTATATTTCTACAGTTATATTATGTGGCATTGTTAGTGCTTTGTTTGTGTCTTCTTATGTTGAAGAAATGCACAGTGTTTTGTAGCTGTGCAAAGAGTGACGCGTTAATAAAATGATTTTCGTGTTTGTGTCTGTTTTTTTGTAAAATACAGGGGTGCATTTTGAGATCTTCATACGGTAATGCGTTCGTTTGATATTCGTTATACTTTTCATAAATATTATCAGAAGTGCAATGCATGTGGTCCTTTAAAAGTCGAAACCCAGGTTGGTGTTTATTCTTTGATTGTGAGTGACGATTATTTATTGTCTCGTTTATATTATGCTCCGTGACAGCTACGAGCAAACCCAAACGATTCTGACGTTTAAATTGCTTTTCAATGAATTCAAGTAAACAACGTTAGTGATTTAGAACACTGGAACACACCCAGATAACACTGACAGTCAAAGTCGCCACTCCAGTAAACATCCTCGAGGTGGTATGTTACATGATAACCACTTCCTCCTTGCGCGAGTGATATGACAATAATAAATTCTCAACACAACGCAAGGTGTACAACTAACACAATGTTGGGTGGTTTAGTCTTCATGGCGTACGTGTCAGGCATTATGGCAGATACGGCAATGGCACAATATGGAACTGAAAACAGTAAGTATGTTCTTCAATTTGTTTGTAAAGATTTTAATGCACACTCTTTGTTCAAAGTATTTACGACAAGTGGTTTTCTGTTAAGTAGGGTTTGTGGTAAGTGCATTGACAGCATGGAGAAGCGTCTGCCGGGAGAGCGAAAGGTCTGTGATTCGAGCCCCGGCCGCGTCATACCAAAAGACGGTTCAAGATGGTATTGTTGTTACCGTGCCTGCACTCGGCATTATTGGGGTAAGAATAGGACTGACCTTTTGGAGTCAGTACACTGTGTCTGAGTCGGGTGTCCATGTTCAACTGCGGCATGGTATCTTCGATTGGCTATCACTATAAAACCAGCGTAAGTCTGAACTAGTGGAGGTAGCAACACACACATGAATTACACATGTGTATGCACGCCATCTATACGTGAATAATCTTGAACGCGACTTTATACTCCTTTTCACAGAGGACATCGAACATGTGTCGAGTTATCTGTATATCAAGGCAATAATCGACCAAAGTGTCAATAAGGATCTACACGTTTTCATAACACTACTTTGCTTCAAGCGGCACATATATCAAACTTCCAGTTGGCGGACATACAGGTTATGGCATTAAATGAATTCAGCCAGTTAGATACGTTTTGTTGTTCACCGATACTATAATAACAATAACTGAACAAATGTAAAAAACACAACATTTATGTAACAATTTCATGTTTACTTTTTGGAATTTTTGAAACCATGACAGGTTCGTTCTTGCATTTTTTGTCTTAATGAATAACTATTGAGTATATCAGTGTTGATTGATAGGTTCTGGGCCTCACATGGAAATATACATTGTCAATACAAGTGAATAGCCAGCCTGGATTTTCTACCGAAACAGATTCCACTTGGCGTAAAGGGCAAATGGACCACTGGAAATCAGTGTTGACACCAGATATTCGCGAACATGAACTGAGTAATAGTGACATATTTTACTGTAAACATTATATATCCACACCAAACCAACTTTAGTAAATTGAGTAATGTAGTAACTGTTTGCTGTAAAATAAGAGAGGGGCTGTGACCTTTGGAAAATGGACAAACTGGAGGACTGGACAATGATGAGTTGCAGAAAAAAGACAAAACAACACAGGCCATCCATAAAGATGCGAGTACAATACTAGGCCCCTTTATATGTCACTTTCAAGAGGTGGACAGCTGTCTCTAAGCGTAGAAGGTTGACGTCCCGCAGGCGTGTTACGTCATTAACATCCAGAGAATCCAAGATATGGTGATGACCTACCGGCGGACGACTGCTCGGCGTATTGCTAGTTCAGTGTACATTTTGTCAGGAGGGAGTTCATTCAATTACCACAGAAGAGGTGGCAGCGAAGAAAGTATGAGGTTCCAAAGCTTCTACCGTCTCATCAAAAACCCACAGGCTACAGCGTTGCTCGTGATAATATTGCTCTGTTTGAAGTTGATCCAGAAAGGTTCTTGCATCGATTTGTTACTGTGGATGACCCATGGCTTCACCAGCCAGAACCCATTTCAACTCGAACGAAGACGTCATGTACAGCCCAAAGAAGGACTTCTACGCAACTGGGATACAATCCCTCCAGCATCGTTGGCAAAAGTGTACTCACGTGGAAGGGCATTATGTTTAAAAATAAATCATTTTAATGACTTTGGGTCAAGCCTTTCTGTGTCAGGCTTAGAAATGGGTGATGAACTACTTTTTCTGTTTAGCTGCCCTGCATTTAATGTTTTACGAAGTAATCATTTATGTTCATAACAGACTGAATAAAAAAATTAACGTATTTACACTGATTTGATGAACATAGGATATATGAAGAAGCTTGTAACATTTATCAAGAAAAAATTATATTCTGAACAATGATAGTATGTTACATTTGTCTCTTGTCACAATGTAAATCTATCACTTATATGTATATGTACATGTACGTGGGCCTCTGGCCTTATTACTGTGAGTATGAGTATGTTTAAAAATAAATTATTTTAATGCCTGTTGGTCAAGCCTTTCTGTGTGAGGCTTAGAACTCATCAGGCAACCCACGAACATGACAAGGTACTTGCCTCTCTACTAACACAAAACGACGGGACCACTTACACTGTTATTATGCTTAATAGTGTCTTAGTCCTTGCAAGCGAGGCTTAGATTGAAAAACCAGGAACATGTATACAATTATACTTTTAAACAAAGAAACTATTCATCCGATTTCAATATAGTTTTAATCAGACACGTGTTTTGTTATACGCGAGCAAATCACGAATTTTAAACTGTTTAATGAAAATAGTGCAAATGTCGCCCTAAAACAAAACATGCACACACCGATTTGTAAATAGTAAACAGGTGAAACAAGTCTGTGCACAACGCTAGTAGAAATTCAAGCAACGTTTGTGGTGGCGGCGTTCTTTGACGGACACGGCGATCCAAATCATCCCACGAATGTTCGATTGGTGAAAGGCCGGGTGAACGAGCCGGCCATGACAGAATTCTGCTTTGAGAACGTCTTGGCTACACAGACGGTGTGCGGTCGTACATTCACTTGCTGCAAAATGCCAACATATTTATAAAGGAACGGAACAACGTAAACTTGCTCAATGTCATCAAGATATCGCAGCCCATTTTTTAACGCTCCTGCACCATGGACAAGCGCTGTATTAAATACAGCTAGCTGCGGAACGCACGTTACGTTGGTGGTAAACATGAGCACGAATGACATCTCTTCTGAGCAGAAAACAGGATTCAGTAGTAAAAAAGACAGACCTGAGTTTCTCACGAACCTCATTGTCTGACGTATTTTTTTCAGGTTTTCAAGAACGCATGCTGCACGTGTAAATCGCACCGTTTGCTTTTGAATCATATTGTTAAATGACGTTTGGAGGGCGTTATGTTTTCTTTATCAACCTTATTTATCTTAAGTTGAAAATATTTTCTAATGACATCATTTTATGTACATGAATATATATATGTTTTTAATGCGAATATCAAGTATATGCACTGTCACAACAAGACTTCTACCCCCCGTCTGTGTATTCTTTTCAAATGAATGTCGGAATAGAAGTCTTAGCCGTATTGGTACATATCAGTTAGATATTTAAACATTTACGATAATGCATTCTTCGTTACAGATCGGTTACCCTAATATAGAAATTTATACGGATATGTTAACAGTATATCGCGTTTTTAAATCGATGCCGTTTGTTGCTGCAATGTGCATTTAATAACAGGACACTTTACTTTCTATTTATGTCAGATACTCTGAAGCTTACAAGTGTCCCATCAACAGCAACAGAAGGAGAGCTCTTCACTATGAGCTGTACTAGCACCAAAGACATTGGTGCACAGCCAGTTGCCTGGTTCAAGGACGGTGACATTACCTTTAGCACAACACACAACGCGTCCACTAACAACACAATCACCTTCTTACCAGAAGGTATTGGTGTATATTGCGATGCCTTCCAACACAACATAACCTTCAAGATTAACTCCACCATGTACAATGGATCTGTTTGGACGTGTGCATATGAACACTTAAGTAACAGTCTTACAATCGGTGAGTTATTTTGGGTCGTACATGTAAATGTCGTTAAGTGTGATATGGCATGTTTTTCACGTTTATGTACAACAATATTTAAAAGAGATTTCAGGAGTAAATGTGAACTGCACCACTGCCCTCGTTCCAGATAGCTACCTTCAATGACAAATATAAACTGTATATACGTTACAGGATGGGTATATGTCTTCCATGAAGAGATAAAACGATGATTCATTTAGACTTACAATTTTAACATTTTAAAACACGATGGTTTAGTGGTTGTTAGCCATTGTGTTCTGTTTTGGAACCCAGTCCTATTGGAAAATGTTGTATGATGTTCAAACCGAATAATTTGCATTACAGTTTTCAATGAATTGTTGTTTGTGTTAAAAACTTTATCGACATGTAGACTGTCGTGGTATCGAATGTTCCTGACAGGAAATAGGTAGCGTGAAGATATGAAAATGATACACCGGATAACAGTTGATAACAACATGAATACTTATGTAATTACACGGAATTATGAATTTTTTTTTATTTCAGATGTTGAAACACCTCCGGAGAAAAGTGTTGTACCAGAACCCATCACCTCTGGGTCTACTACGCTGTCAACTCGAACGATGAAACATTCAATTCGTACGTTACCTGAGAGAAATATGACCAGATAAAATAACAAATGCGACATTATAGGAAGTTTTCACGTTTTACGCGTGTATATATATACATGTCATACTCGTGAATAATAGCAAAATGTGAATATCAATTCTTTGAAAAAATATTACGAAATAGAACTGGATGATTTACTTACCCCCACACATATAAGGATTAATTATTTTGTACATCTGATGTGCCAATTGCATGTTAACGAATATAGACGTAGAAAGTGAGTGAGTGAGTGAGTGAGTGAGTGAGTGAGAGAGTGAGTGAGAGAGTGAGTATTGTTTTACGCCGCCTTTAGCAATATTCCAGCAATATCACGGCGGGGGACACCAGAAATGGGCTTCACACATTGAACTCATGTCGGGAATCGAACCCAGGTCTTCGGCGTGACGTTCGAACGCTTTAACTACTAGGCTACCCGACCCCCCCCCCACACACACACACACTCCCACCGACCCCCACACACACCCCAATATCCCCCCACGTAGAATATGAAGATTGAAAGCAAATGTCAATGTTCGTCTTTCGCTGTAGTCCTTATTAATAAAAAAACCTTAATTCAAACATTTATTTTTAGATTTAGTAATTATATTTACGCACGTCACACGCACTCGTTAAGGCGCACGATCAAGCTAATCTTGAAAACCAGTTTTGATTCCTTTGACAGAATATCCCTTAACAGACGACACGCATATCACCACGATGTCTCATACAACTCACAACCACAGTTCGGCAGTAAAACAAATTGTGGGTGAAGGTTCGACTACAAGAAAACCATTCATGGACATAACAGGAACTACTACACCCCTAGCTGGTGTAAAACATGGTACGATATAGTCACATAATTATCTTCCAAGCCAAATCTTTCTCTGCAAAAAGCTACTTTCAGGTAGCTACCAACAGTTGCTGAGAATTGAACCCTTATCTTCTAACAAACACTTCTTTAGATTATACAGGTTCGTTATTCGAAGTCTTGTTAAGAGACTTTCGGCACGAATATTTCAGAACATCGTATATTGTGCTCAATCTTTAATTTTGGTGACAGACGGCAACGTTTACGATTTTCTGTTGCTTCCCAGATATGCCAGCCTCCCAAACGGACGCCTACACCATAGCCGGCTCTGTAATCGGTGCTTTCATTGCGATCGCTGTGGTCGTTGTCGTCGTGCTGTGCGTCAGAAGAAAAACTATAGACGCAGCAAAAGGTAGGACGTTAAATAGAATAATCATACTGAGTATATGTGGCCAATAGTAGCAAGCTAATCGTGATGTTATATCACTGACATGCGCAATTGTTAATGTTAAGATTACATTATACATTCCCTGGAAGGAATGATCAGTCAATCTGTTAAAGGATTTATGTCAATGTTCTTCTCATAATCAGTAATGTATTGTGACCATGCAGTCATTTGCATCTGCAGACAAACAAAACCTAACCCAAATACCATGTGTGTCCTTTCAGTTATGGAAGACAATTTCGTATATTCGATGTCCTCTGAGGCGGTGCCGAGAGCTCCCAGTGCTCCAAACAGTGGAAATGGGATGGAGAGGGCAAGTAAGACTATGACATGCATTAAACCGTTTTAGAAGTTTGTGGCGTGGAGGCATGTTCGACTGACGATCAAAAGATAGTATACATCGAGTATACTATCCGTGAAAATCTATATATTTCATTTTGGAATGTATATTGAAGTTCAAATCATTTATTGTGCAACGCGCAAAAGACAATGCCATGGAACTTATGACTTAACTAAATACAATCGGATCATAACTGTCAATTTTCACACGCATGCACGCACGCACGCACGCACGCACGCACATGTCTGATATCAAAGCTTCTGAATGGTTCCATAGTATAATGGCATCAACGGGTAATGGCATCAACATCTTGTGTCAATTCCTCGGGCGTCCAGACAGCCCTGGACACGACGTCACATCGATGACATAAGTCTCATGGCGACATGTTGGGCATGCGGTGCCACTCCTCCAGTAACTCACGTTCCAGCGGCTGTACGTCCACCATCGAGAGGTCGGGTTAGCGTGAGGGACACGGCAGCATTGGACGTTATTGGTGTCGAGGAAGCATTGTTGGGCATGGCCTTGTCCTGTTGGAACAATAGCATTGGTGCTGTCTTCTGAGAAAGGAAAGGACAACAGGTTGTAGCATGATATGCAACTGCTACATTTTATATCGTCTTTCATAAAACACCTTGTTTTCTACAACAGTCACAAAGCATAATTTTCCTAACATTGTTCTAACTGACTCCTAACATTCAGGTGGTGCTGGTTGTATATGGGCAACGGTCTACAACCTGAATTCAGTTTTCTTTAGCCATTGTGTTAAAACCTGTTCACAATCTAACAATGTATACATTCTTGTTATCAGCAGTATATTCGGCGTGTCTGTTTTTTCGAGTCAAACATGTATATGCTAAGGAGACAAAATATTATGTTGGTTTCTACTCATTATAAAAATAGAAACAATACAATATTAAAATATGTTTAAAAAAAAGAAACTATTCACCATGGAAAATCGACCCTAATTTATCACATTGGAAAGGTTAATGTATACAGCAATCATGTGACACGAAAAGTCCAAACTACGTGCCATCAAACACATTCACCCTGTGCAGAGTTTCGTCCCCTGGGCGCGCCAGAAACCTATGATTGTGGGTTCGAATCCCGGTTCGCCGAGATTATGTTTCTAGGTTTGTCAGCACCATACCCGTGCTCGTGGCTTTCACCGACGTGGTAAACGTCCGAGAACTGCATCACTTCGGGCTTTCCTCCCACATTAAGCTGACACGCCGTGATATAACTGGAATATTGTTAAAAGCGGCGTTAAACCCAACACACTCACTCACTCACTCAGAAGACGAAATCACATGTGACAAATTGTGTCATTCTGAACCCTAATTAAACAGTTTAGTATGACGTGTGTCAATGCACGCTTGACAATGCCATCTCATCGACTCCATTTCACAGTTGACCATTCTTACGAGATAACTATTGGCGGTTTGTTGGTAGTCCTTGCATATCCTTGCACCAGAGGTGTCAGTATTGATCTCCCTGCGGGCCTTCGTGCTTTCATGCTGTCGGCACACAGGCGATTTCTTGTTGTCTGCACAAAAAATAATCAGCTGCCTCGCCCATATTGTCCCGCTCTGGAACAAGTTACGTAGAGTGCTTGCTCGAATATACCGATCCTGTACAACACTTGCAGCCCTTGGCCTGTCTGTTCGATGATGGTCATTAGTACACGTTGTTCCAGTGTTAAGATCGTTTAGAAACCAGTGATAAGTTGCTCTCGTAACATTGAAACGTTGTACAACGTCACCTACGGACGTGCCTGCTTAAAGCATTACCAACAGCCTTTTCACGTTGCTGTTGTGATAGTCATTACATTTTTGTTTCTGTGTGAAATTTCTTTCCTTGTGTTTTTCTTGTTGTCAACAGACATGCCTTTGATTAATTTCAAAATGATCTAAGCATAATGTGTTGGATGTTTGCCACATGTTTTCATTGTTTTCACGTTAAAATCCCACATAGAGATGCATCAAACAGACTTGATTTGTACGTGCAGTGTGTTTTGTTGTATTTTCGATAAAAGTTTCAACACATGAAACACCAGACAAAACACATCAATGGAAATGCCAGATATGGAACTTGTATACTTTCTTGTTTGTTGTGTATATATTGTCAGTAGGTATTTAACTTAGAAAATGTTCTTCACCTGAATCTTAAAGTATGTTTTCAGAAACAATTGATCTGCATCTCAAAGTTACCATTTAGACCTTAATTATTGAATGGCATTTGAAAGACAATGCTAAACACAGAATAAATAATGTCCCTTTTAAGAAAACTGCACTTCACCTAATTAACACCATGTTACAAACCAATTTGCAACCTTCAGATCACTAGTACTATAACAAATCGATATTTTGGACCCATTTAAATGTCGAAACAATCGTTATCACAATCATTGATCTGTAAACATGAATATTTTATAACATATTGGTTCAAATTTCAGTTATGGTGGATAATTTAGTGTATGAAGGTCCCCCTCGGTTTGCACTGGATGCTACTAAGACTGAAGTCACAGGTAATTGTTTGCATTGTTTGACTGTTTTGTTGATGTGATATGATGTGCAATACCTGGCCATACCTGAAATATCGTGTCCATGGTGAAATATCATTAATACATGTACCTACATGTATCACAGAGGTATAAATAATAAGTAATCAAAGCTTAAATAGTTGAAGTCTGGCAGTAAGTTCAAGTTGTTCAAGATTAATTGTTATACCTCTTTTAAGAATCTTGCAAATCCATTGGTAATTCGTATCACTTGACGAAACAATACATTTCAATGTAGACCCCGAATTCACCCCGTAATAAATATTGACTGTTCTCCAAGAAAACAGGATGGTAAACTAAGTGGCTGTAATGAAACAGAGAACGGCTTAAAGACTTCACAAACTTTAATGTGAATTTCGGTATAATAACGTCAATGATTCCTCTTGACGAGGTAAATATGATAAAAACAAAGACCCTCGGACTCGACCCCTTCAGAACACCTCGTCCTTGTTTTCGCATATTGACCTCGTCAAAAGTAATTATTTGTATGCTATTGTTATTGGTTGATATTTTGAGCAATATCCCCTGCGATATGGTACGACGATACGTAATTAATATAAGCTGCATGACCACTGGCCGAGCCAATGTTGTCTCCTCTCACAAAATAATGTATTAGATGGAAACTGGATGTTAACATTTCCAATACAAAACCTGCCCTAAATGCTTCAAAGAAATTGATATGCGCATTTAAGCCTACCGTCTTTTGAAGAATCCAAGACATATTAATTTACCTCTTGATTGCCTCATCTCGGCTTTTCATTCTATGGTACTACTGTCGTAAGGTTCGGGGATATGCCGATATATCTACAAATTATTCAAGTGTTCTTTGGGAATTTCTTAAATTTGACATAACAGGACGACAGATAATTTCTCTGAGGATGAAAAGTGTCGACTTTTCTGCATGTCACACACACGATTATTATGTTTTTTATTGACGTTGTAACACGTCTCAACCTATGTGAAATATAAATAGAGCTTATCACGCGAGTAAGATGGGGGTGGCAATTATTATAAACATCCTGCACTAAATAAACATTTGTATTTAGCGAACCTTGGCGAGCTGAATACATAGTGTTTATTCTAATACAGGATGTTTACCATCACAAAACACGCAAGCGTGATAACCTTTTTATCATATAATGTCATTTTTTAATTCTGTGCTTGACAATCGCTTCCCTCTCTCAAAAACATTACCGAAACATTGCGATTTTTCCTTGAATGCGCGCATTAATATTTATTACGTCACAAGGTAAGTGATGTGTCAGTCGGACAGTGACAGTAGCCAATATAGTTCCAACTGAAATCTGTTTCTTATACAGTGGCAAAGCAACCTATACGCAACACAACAATTGTTTTCACTTGCCTATCGCGGCAATCCATCGGTCTGTCCGCTAGAGTAACTGCCCTTTGTCAAAGGGAAGCTACTCTAACCCTAGTCTATAAGACGCCACGGCCACGTTCAGACATTGTTGACAGTCGGCCTGTCCTGTCATAACGTTAAGAAGTGCAGTCAGATGTGCACACAGCGACAACACGAATGAAGTTAACAATTCAAACATATTTCGGCCAAATCCAACTATTTTAATTTGTAGAAAAGGTTTCAAGCCTCAGAGGTCTACAAACACAGATATGGCTACTGATCCAGCTTGGCTAGGCCTAGTGCCCTCGCAATATTGTTTCGAAATCTCCGAAGTTGCCAATACTTATAAAATGCCTTAGCTACGCCATAGTTAGACACTGATTTTCAGTATATTAGACTGTTCTTTTGATAATGATAGCAATTACCCCTGTAGTTTAGCCAGATTCCCGATGGTTAATTCTGACTTGATCGCCGAATGACAAGGGCTACGCCATGTTTGTTTATAAACACTGAAAGTAGTCCCTACTTGACCTTTGATATTTGCACCTTTTTCCGTATATGACCCCAACTGATATCGTTTTTATCCGTTGGCTTTATCCTGCCGAGAAACCTACCCATTATATGATAATCATAATTATTACTATTGAAAATAAGTATTATAGTGATATCCTCATTAACAAAGTTGATGTTGCAGAGAAAGACACAAATGCATACACGGGCTTGTCGTGCTATGAAGATGTGGACAATGTATACTACTCAGCAGCAACGTCAGAACGTTTGTAACACTACTACTTACTGACAACGTCAACGCCAGAACCTCGGTAACACTACTATCCACACTGACAACGTCAACGCCAGAACGTCGGTAACACTACTATCCACATCGACATGGTCTACGCTAGAACTTCGGTCACACTACTATCCACACTCACAACGTCAACGCCAGAACCTCGGTAACACTACTATCCACACTGAAAACGTCAGCGCCAGAACCTCGGTAACACTACTGTCCACATTGACAACGTCAACGCCAGAACCTCGGTAACACTACTATCCACACCGACAACGTCAACGCCAGAATTTCGGTAACACTACTATCCACACCGACAACGTCAACGCCAGAACTTCGGTCACACTACTATCCACACCGACAACGTCAACGCCAGAACTTCGGTAACACTACTATCCACATCGATATGGTCAACGCCAGAACGTCGGTCACACTACTATCCACACTGACAACGTCTACGCCAGAACCTCGGTAACACTACTATCCACACCGACAACGTCAACGCCAGAACGTCGGTCACACTACTATCCACACTGACAACGTCAACGCCAGAACGTCGGTCACACTACTATCCACACTGACAACGTCAACGCCAGAACTTCGGTCACACTACTATCCACATCGACATGGTCAACGCCAGAACTTCGGTCACACTACTATCCACACTGACAACGTCTACGCCAGAACCTCGGTAACACTTCTATCCACACCGACAACGTCAACGCCAGAACTTCGGTCACACGACTATCCACACTGACACCGTCTACGCCAGAACGTCGGTCACACTACTATCCACACTGACAACGTCAACGCCAGAACCTCGGTAACACTACTACACACACTGACAACGTCTACGCCAGAACGTCGGTCACACTACTATCCACACCAACAACGTCAACGCCAGAACTTCGGTCACACTACTATCCACATCGACAACGTCAACGCCAGAACTTCGGTCTCACTACTATCCACACCGACAACGTCTACGCCAGAACGTCGGTAACACAATCAGACACACTGACAACGTCAACGCCAGAACGTTTGTAACACTACTACACACACTGACAAAGTGAACACCAGAACGTCGATAAAACTACTATCCACACCGACAACGTCAACGCCAGAACCTCGGTAACACTACTACACACACTGACAACGTCTACGCCAGAACGTCGGTCACACTACTATCCACACCAACAACGTCAACGCCAGAACGTCGGTCACACTACTATCCACACTGACAACGTCAACGCCAGAACTTCGGTCACACTAATATCCACACCGACAACTGACAACGGGCCAACGACTACGTCAATCACAATGGGTGTAGTTGATATAACGTCTGGCGTCATTGTTACCTTATGATTGATGTGGGATTTCCATTTGAGAAGATTATAGTCACGATTAGTCATCCGACGAAGTTATCAAACAAGTTATTGTTGTGCTACAACTCTTGTAATTGTAATCGTAAAACATATCCTTTTATCATTTTGTGCACGGAATAGTTCTGTATCCATAAGTCTGAGGTCGATATGAATAAAAAAATAATAACCGACTTAACATATTTTGTTTTCATTGCTTGTTGGGCGAAATATATGTGATGAAATAGAATATTTGTCACACTGGCCATGCACTGGGCATGTATGAATTTGGACATGCTTGTATCACACTGGACATAAGTGTGTGGTCGATATGAAACAAATATACTGAACAACAAAAGTTCCTGTGACATTGAATAAGATTTAATGCAAAATTATGTTTTTTTTACCAAAACTGAAACAATTTCGGTTTGCAACAGATAAAAGACTCCTGTAAGTGTTCACATGGTTCAATTTGCCATACTGATTTTATAAAATGCGTGATTTCATTAAAAACATGAACATGCCAAAATGTCAATTTACAAATCATTAGCGTGTGTGTCCACTTCTGGTTGTGATGCAAGCAACACATCTTCGTCTCATGGAATGGACCAGGCGTCGCACAAAGTCCTGTGAGATATCTCTCCATATCTGCTGGAGCATGTTTCGAAGTTCCTGGAGTGTCTGTTGAACACGTGGTTGACGTCGAAGGCGCCGATCCATCTCAACCCACATGTGCTCGATTGGTGAGAGATCAGGGGAGCGAGCCGACCAGGGGATGACATTCACGTTGTTTTGTTGTCCATTGAGATTTCCCTCTACCACTATTAAACGGGTCCTCTGTCTTGCTGTAATCCCATCCCATACCATAGCGCTGCCGCCCCCGAACCGATCTTCTTCCATGACACAATGATTAAAGTAACGTTAACCTCGATGTCGGTACACTCAAATCCGTTCATCGCTATGGCTGTGTTGAAAACGAGACTCGTCAGTGAATAGAACTTGTCCCCACTGCATGGCCGTCCAGCGTAGACGCTGTCTGCACCACTGTAGACGTGCTTGACGGTGGTTTCCTCTCAAAATCGGATGTCTGGCGGGTTTTCTGGCGACAATCCCTGCACATCTTAGGCGACGACGTACGGTTTGTGAAGATATTCGTCGAAGGCCAGGGATGCTTCTTGCAGTCACTGTTGCTGGCTGGAATCGATTTGTAGGAGTGTTGCTCGAATCCAGTTGTCTTGTCGATTATTGGTTACGCATGGCTTGCCCTTCCGAGGATGGTCTCTGACTGCATTCGTCTGTTGCCAACGTTGCCATAAACATCAAATGGTGTTTCTGTTGACGTTAAATTGTCTTGCAACATCACGTTGACTCGATTCTGCTTCAAACATACCAATGGCTCTCGGACGCTCATTTTCGGACAGGCGTGGCATTTCGTAATGTTGAATAATTGCGTAATTTTGTTGTTTTTCTGAGTGGTTGTTGTCAGCACGATAAACAATACGTTTACACAGCCACACATGTATCTTGGACACAAACAAGATAAGCTTTGCGTTCACGAAGCGACACAGGTTTGTGGGGCACTATCAAGATGAACACTACGTTTACGCTCCCACACAGGTATGTGGGGCACTATCAAGATGAACACTACGTTTACGCTCCCACACAGGTATGTCGGGCACTATCAAGATGAACACTACGTTTACGCTCCCACACAGGTCTGTGGGGCACTATCAAGAGGAATACTACGTCCACGCTACCACACAGGTATCTGGGGCACTATCAAGATGAACACTACGTCCACGCTACCACACAGGTATGTGGGGCACTATCAAGGTGAACACTACGTTTACGCTACCACACAGGTATGTGGGGCACTATCAAGATGAACACTACGTTTACGCTCCCACACAGGTCTGTGGGGCACTATCAAGAGGAATACTACGTCCACGCTACCACACAGGTATCTGGGGCACTATCAAGATGAATACTACGTCCACGCTACCACACAGGCCTGTGGGGCACTATCAAGATGAATACTACGTCCACGCTTCCACACAGGTCTGTGGGGCACTGTCAAGATGAAAACTACGTCCACGCTACCACACAGGTATGTGGGGCACTATCAAGGTGAACACTACGTTTACGCTACCACACAGGTATGTGAGATATTGTCGAGATGAACATTACGTTTACGCTCCCACACATGTATGTGTGGCACTATCAAGATGAACACTACGTTTACGCTACCACACAGGTATATGGGGCACTATCAAGATAAACACTACGTTTACGCTCCCACCCAGGTATGTGGGGCTCTATCAAGATGAACACTACGTTCACGCTACCACACAGGTATATGGGGCACTATCAAGATGAACACTACGTTTACGCTCACAAAACAGGTATGTGGGGCACTATCAAGATGAACACTACGTTTACGCTACCACAAAGGTCTGTGGGGCACTATCAAGATGAAAACTACGTTTACGCTCCCACACAGGTATGTGGGGCACTATCAAGATGAACACTACATTTACGCTCCCACACAGGTCTGTGGGGCACTATCAAGATGAACACTACGTGTACGCTCCCACACAGGTCTGTGGGGCACTGTCAAGATGAACACTACGTGTACGCTCCCACACAGGTATGTGGGGCACTATCAAGATGAACACTACATTTACGCTCCCACACAGGTATGTGGGGCACTATCAAGATGAACACTACGTTTACGCTCCCACACAGGTCTGTGGGGCACTATCAAGATGAAAACTACGTCCACGCTACCACACAGGTATGTGAGATATTGTCGAGATGAACATTACGTTTACGCTCCCACACAGGTATGTGGGGCACTATCAAGATGAACACTACGTTTACGCTCCCACACAGGTATGTCGGGCACTATCAAGATGAACACTACGTTTACGCTCACAAAACAGGTCTGTGGGGCACTATCAAGATGAACACTACGTTTACGCTCTCACACAGGTATGTGGGGCACTATCAAGATGAACACTACGTTTACGCTCCCAAAACAGGTATGTGGGGCACTATCAAGATGAACACTACGTGTACGCTCCCACACAGGTCTGTGGGGCACTATCAAGATGAAAACTACGCCCACGCTACCACACAGGTATGTGGGGCACTATAAAGGTGAACACTACGTTTACGCTCCCACAAATGTCTGTGGGGCACTATCAAGATGAACACTACGTTTACGCTCCCACAAAGGTCTGTGGGGCACTATCAAGATGAAAACTACGTTTACGCTCCCACACAGGTATGTGGGGCAATGTCAAGGTGAACACTACGTTTAAGAAAACGTTGACGCAGACACACATGTATGTAAGGCAGTGTCGAGATTCACACTACGTCCTCGCAACCAGACAGGTATCCGGGGCACTGTCGAAATGAACACTAGGTTTACACTACCACACAGGTATATTTTGTGCTGCCAAGATAAACACTATGTTTACGTTAAAACACAATTATGTGCAGCACCATCCAGATGAACACTACGTTTAAGCAGCTACACATGTATGTGGGGCACTGTCCAGATGAACACTACGTTCACATAGGAACACAAGTAGGAGGAGCACTATCGAGATGAACACTACGTTTACATAACCACAAAGGCATGTGGGGCACTGTCGAGATGAACATCACATTTACACTACCTCACAGATAGACGAGGCATTGATGAGATGCCACACAGCTATCTGGGGTGCTGTCGAGATGCCACACATCTATCTGGGGTGCTGTCGAGATGAACACTAGGTTTACACTGAAACACAGATATGTTTGGCCCTGTCGAGATGAACACTAGCTCATACATGTATGTTAGGTACTGTGGAGATGAAAACTACGTTTACGCTACCACAAATGTATATGGGAGTACAGCCAAGATGAACACAACATTTACGCAGCCACACAGGTATGTGAGGAACTAGTGAGATGAACACTACATTAACACTACAACACAGGTATTTGTGGCATTGTCGATAATAACACTACTTTTTTGCAGACACACAGCCAAGTGAGGCACTGACGAGAAGAACACTACATTTACACTTCCACACATGTATGTTATCCGCAGTCGAGATGAACACTACGTTCACGCAGCCACATAGGTACACATACATTGTTTGGCCTGATACAAAAGTACACGATTTCAATAGGATTACATGTCATACTTGGAGTGAGATGAGGTTTAATGCGGTTTAAGGTCACGTTAAGATTATTGCACTTATATAGTGAAATGCATGTACGTTGTACGTATGGGCGTGTGTGGTTTCTTGTACTAGTCTGGACTAATGCAGATGTTATATATAGTGCTAGCCCGCGGAGGTTCCATGTCACAGTTTAACATGAATACACCACTTAGACACAGCAATCAGACTCCTTTCTCTGAGCCCCTTATTCCGAGTGGAATCTGGGTGGAGAATTATTTATTCAGATATGTGTATTATCGACTGACAGTATACCTATGGAATCATGAACCTGTTCTATTTTCGGACACGATGTCGTGTTTGTTTCTCTTTGTTTTAACCCCTTAATATGAGCGCCAACAAATAACAACAAATGCCATATTTTAACGTCGGTTAGTAAGACACTCTTCGGGCCATACTAGGATTATGAGTGATAAAGCTGTATCGTTGTGTAGAGTTGCATTCTTCAGACATGTTAGAATGCCATAATCATTCGAATCAACGATTCAACAGAGTTGTGTTTCAGGATTTTACAGTGCCATACCCGGGTTTCCGCAAAACAAAGAACAAACCAAAATCAAAAACAACAAAATGAAAAATAAAAACAAGTATCGAGTTATGGTATTGGATGGATAAGAAAACGGGAGGGGCTAGTTGTTACATGACCATAAAAACGACACGTTGGCGGTGTATTGTAAGAGTGGAAACAACCAAGAAAGTGCGCAGGTGAAGTCAAAATATGAACTTTTGGTTACTTGGTGACTTGATCAATAACGGGTCATGCCCCCACGATTGATCAAACATTCGTTATACGAAATGGCATGGTCCGAATCAATATTCCAATGACAATTTAAGCTAAGGGAGTCCTGTCCAATCCTCTTGCAGCTCTTGCAGATGTAATAGTATAGGGTGGCATCGCAACTCATGGCAGAACATAACACATAATTATCAATAGCAGTTTGAATGGTGGACGCTCTACT